ACTGCGCAAGTGCGCCCTTGACAGCATGGCGCGATTCAAACGGAGGGATAAGTTTAGTTGCATATCCTAAGCGTCATCGATACACTAAAGAAAAGGATAGGGAAGGCCTTGGCAGGGAAAAGAGCTAAGAATATGGCGAAAAACCCGTCAACTTTGAAGGAAAGTTGAGGAGGTTGTCCCAATAGATAGTGCTTTTATTGACTGGTCCCACACTTAGGCCCTGCTGAGGTTTCAGCAACTCCTAAAGGTCATTAACAGAGTACTGAATGTGCTTGTTGTTATTTACCATTCCGTCGATTGTTTTGTTGATTTATAAGCTTTCTACAATAATTTGAAACCTACTTGGGCATACTAGAGACTTTTTAGTAGAAGGACTTTTTCATTCCTAGCTCTCCCTGCCATCAAACACTTATACGCTTGCCTAGTGAAGAATGTTTGCCTCTTTGACATATCGAAATTTGAACTGAATTGATTCAGCAGATGAAAAGCTACGGCCGAAAATGCATTTGGCCGAATACTTTTGAGCGCCTCTGTACCTCCTATATACAGGAGGGGGGGGGGGCAAAAAAATGAAACGCTTTGCCTACGGCGCAGATCTTCAAAGGTGCCGCTATTTGGATTTGGCGGCGTTCAACTAATTGTGGTTTGAGTGTGAAGAAGAGTGACTCTTTTCTGCCCCCCTCCCTCCCCTACTCCCTGTATACGTGGGGAGGCCTAAAAAGTCTTACCTTTCCACATTCAAAACGAGACTAATTACACTCTACTAAATCCAAACCGAATGACTCCGACCGGAAATTGAAGATCACATTCCAGTCATCAAAAAACTTCAAGATAGCCTTCTGCTCCCGTGTTGTAAGAAAATTTTACTCCGGGAAACACCGTACGAGCTCAATGGGGTCCTCTACAGATTATGGACTAGTACGACGTCTGAAACGCCGCTCGAATGCAGTCTGGCACAATCGGAGCTACTGCTCTAGGAAACTATCAACCAGTTAGGCGATTCAAGAACTTAGGTTAGATCTACCAAATGTTTAATTAGTTGACGTGTATTCAGTAAAATAAAGGTTGTTAATTTTATAATATTCATCTTTATGGACAGGGAGTGAGGCGAAAAAAAATCTCTTTGCCTCATGGCGCACATCATCAAACTTTTCGTCGCGCAAGGTGCCGCTGTTGTTGGAAGTTTTACGGCAGAATATTCCTTAGAGGTGCCCCCCATAAGCAGAAGCAGGCCCTCCTTCACTGCCCTCACCGTCTTCAGAATATGACGTCATCTGCCATCACCGTCGAGCTCAAGGAGGCCTACCGTAATCGCTCCAGCCTGAAGCTGCTACATAATTTCTTCAATCGGTTAACTGGTGAATAGCTTCTTAGAGACACTAGCTCTGATCACGCAAGACTGCTTTCGATCGGCGTTTCAGTGGGTACACGATCCGTCAGCGACTCATTGAGCTCGTACCGTGGGCCGTATTCGCGAAGGAAGACCTTCTGATATCACTGGGTTGAAGGCTATCTTAGAGAAATTTAATAGATTGAATATGCCTTTCAATATCCTTTTGGTCTGAATTTAAGAAAATGTATTTAAATCCGTTTAACGTTT